CCATACATAAGTGTTAATTGTACAAATATTTTTACATAGCAAGAATAAACTAGGTTTACCCAAGGTATGTCCAACACAAATAACACACTAACACCTACTTGAGTTCTAAATTTTGGCACTAAACCCGCTCAAACCTAGATCAAACTCAGGAGAATTGCAAGAGAAATGCGATTGCCGAGCTGAAGGAAACTTTAACTAGTTATTTTATATTTATATTTGGTAATTTATTTTTATATATTTTAATTTATACTTCTTAGTTTTTTCTTGGTTTTACACAATGAAACTCTAAATCACGCATTTTTACCATTCGCATTTCAGTGTTAAATTTGTTATTTTTTACCTGTATTCAAGACTTGAAAAATGTTCAAGAACTGCGAAGGCCATCATCATTAAAATACTTATTTCACATTTTTTAGGAAATTTTGGCTATAGCGAAAAATTGACAAAAACAAGTGTGTCTTGGTATTTGTGTAGGCACCTATTGAAATGTTTGAACTTTTTTCTAGCATGACCGTAAAACGTTTCAATAATTATAAAGAATAACTATTTTGTACCTATATTAAGATACAATTATTGTATACACTATAATAACTATAATATACACTATTACAGTTTTCTATTAAACTTACCATTTAACGTTGCACGAAAAGGATTGATCGTCTGACCATGATAATTTGATGATATAGTTTTACATTGAAAAAACATTATTTTCGGGCCAAATGAAATAAAGGTTAAAAAATCACGAGTCGAAATTGTTGAGCTTAAGTCATAAATCACAGTTTGGAAAAACCAATTACACTTCTTATTATAGTGTTGCTATAGTTACACTATTTTGATAAAGTGAATACTAAAAAATTAATATAAACTGTAATTTACGTTATTTTGTGATTTAATACTGTTTTTAAAATATACTTTAATTTTTCTTATCAATTAATATTTCTGTAGAATGTACAGGATGAATGGTTAACTATGAACCAGTCAATAACTTAGAAGATATAAGACGTTGTTATTGTGTATTTTTCAGTATTCAGCACAATTTATCATAACAGAACAAGTGACTTATAAAAGTAGCTACTGAATATTAATAATTGTACTTTTATTAATCGTAGTATAAGCAGGTAACTTGTAAAAGTGAATGCTAACATATTACAAATAGTTATATCATTTATATTTCATAAATTTTTAGAATAATTATTAACTCGTTGTCAGTGTTGACTGCTAAAGCATTAAGAAAATGTCTGCCAATTTAGAACCACTTTGTATTGATATGATCAGAATGCTGTTAAAATGTACTCAAATGCCCCAAAATAGAACGTTAACACAGTGAATGCATTTTTTAACAAACAGTTATATTTTTGGTTTACTCGATTTTAACGATAAAGAAGTTTCCTTTTTCTATTTTTGACCCACCAAAGTACCAACCACATACAATTTAAAATGCATACAGATATTAATCGAGTCATCCTTGTGGTTAGGGGAGAAAGAATTCTACCAAGGTCTTCACACCTGTCGTAAAAGGCGACTAACGTGACGTAGTGCCATCCGATAAGCGGCTTTCTGACTGGTCACTTCATCTTGTGACACACCTTCTCCGGCCCGCAATTAGCACCCAGTGCTACTAGTCGGTCCGCAGTCGAAGGGAATCCCTTCGGGGCGAACCACTAAAGCCAAGGAACATCAGATATTAATCGAGTAGGTTACTCTACGAGAAAAAAGTTATTGTGATTTTAGACTAGAAAAAAACACATTTCAACATATCCAAAACGGTAAATTTACGACCGGTCGGTAAAATTTAATAAACAAGACAACTGTGGCATCCATAAAAGCCACCATTATAAAGACTGTAAACACGGTATACACTTTTTTATCAATATAAAAACAGCTGTAAAATTAATAGGTTTTTGGTTATGTTTATCAATGTCGATAAAATATTATCAATGTAACCACCGTGATTACATAATATATAATATTATATGGTAATAACCGTATTACAATCGTGATTGTCGAAAGTGACTTGTACACGTGTCATTGATTCATAAAAGAGGTTATAATTTCAAGTTTTATGTTAATTTCAGATATTTTATGACTTTTTCGATTTTTACGAAGTAAAACAATTCAAATAAGTACACAATGTAATTCTTTATAAATTTTACATAGATGGTAGACTATTGATAAACGATTGTTCTGTTTTACACTAGTTTTGCGTTCAAGAAAAATACAAAAAGAACTATTTAAGAAAAAAAACTGTATTTTTAATTGCTGATTATAAAATGTTATAGTAAATTAATATCATTAAATTATATATTATTGAAATCGTTATGTTCTGTAGTTTTTAACAGTATATTATTGATCAATGTAACTATTTGCGCAAAGAAGATTTATGAGCACAAAAAGTTTAAATATATAGGTCTCAGAAATATGGGTGATCCATCTAACGTACGACACTCATTTTCTCTGAACTTTATGCTAAGTAGATTAATTTTTATTCAATGATTGCGATTGAATTTTATTTAATGATACATTGACACTTCTAAAACGATGTAGGTATGTACTAAATAAGTACATAGTCAAGGAAAATTCATAGCTCTTTATAGTTTGGTGGCATCTATTTCAGCCACCATCTACAGGACTTAATTTTAAAGTAACATTGATGTTCCCTTAAACAAAAATGATACAAATAAGTTGTAGAATGGTAATAGTATTATAAAAGAACGTTTTAATGAAAAAAACAGTTCTGCCCATCTAGGGTATTTTTACAAGTGCCCTTCATAATACATGCCACAGTACGGTTTTTATAGAGGCCACTAACATATAAAGGGTTAGTATATAAATAGCTAATAACCATTTTTAATTATTTTTCTTAGTTGATTATAATAATTGTTTGATTTTGAATATCGAAATTTTTTTTTTTAGTTTTCAAAACGATGAGGTATTGTGTTTTTATTTTTATGATGTTTTGCGCAATGTCTCACTTTAAACGAGTAAGTATATTTGTTTTTACAAGTTTGATAAACAATTAGTTTTTTAATCGTATTCATTTGGTAGTTTGTGTTTTTATATGTTTGACCTATTTTTTTTGTTTTGGAGTACTGTATGTTTACATATATTATTTTGAATGCTTATTTTATATATTTGTATTTTATCATCGTTGAAGTGTTCACAATGCCTTTATTTTACATATTGTAATTACACTGCTACTTTTCGTTTAATGCATGATAACTATAAGTTATCAACTAACAGTTTTGGTATCCTCTTGCTATACGAAAGCCAACAATATATAGGTACTATTTGCTTACGCATATAATATGAGTTTAAAAATATGAAGCATATTTATTCCTTTTTCATGCTATTGACCAGTTTTATTACATATTTCTAAATTTAATAGGCAAACTAAATATGCATATTGATTGTGCTACTTTGATTGAATTCGGTTAATTCAACAATTCAAATCGAAGAAAAAATAATATTTTTATAAAACATACTTTATCGTCACTAGTTTTTGATAAAATAAAAACTTTTAAACTAATATATATACTATGCGGAGTCGATATTATATCAACAACAAATAATGCAGTAAAAAACAATTTTGTGTAAAACGCGTAATAAAACATATTTATGCTACTAACCAATCTCTAAAAAAAAATTATGCGAATTGCCATTACTAAAACCTCCTTCCATTTTCTTTCCATTATTATTTATGTTGTTTCTGTTTTTATATATTTATACTCTAATTTTTAATTTATGAATTTTATTGTATACCCTCGCATTAATTTGGACAGTGAGATCAAACTCAACAAAATATACCAAAAATCCTTGCCCCTAGAAGTGTTAGAAACTGTTTCTTTTTTTTAATTTTTCAGTGTAGTTTAATATTTAATCTTTGAATATTAGAATAAATTCATTAAAGATTATTTTTAACTTAAATCATTTTAGGTAATATAATATGAATTTCATGTTCCGTCGCACAGGCTGAACCAGTGATCCGATAAGTAATCTAAAAACAGATTTGAATTCGTCTCAAAGTGTACTTGAGATCGGTCAGCGTACTTTTTTGATATCTTAATCCTACTATGTAAAAAACAAGTTTGAACATTATACAAAAATTCCAAATATGAAATCAAATTTAGAAAGGGTTAAAATTAAAAATTGAAAAAAGTACTCTGACCGATCCTATACGAATACGTTTTTAAATTGCTTATCGGATCACTGGTTCAGTCTGTGCAATAAAAAAAAAAATGATGTGTTTTGACTGAAAACCCCGACTGCATGCAATCCCCTTAACATTTTAAATTAAGAATAATGTACTAACAATATTGACTGTTTCGGATAACTATTTTTAAAGTTATTGAAGTTTCAAGTTTGGGGCAGGAGGAAAGGTGGAGTGTATTTTTATTTTTATCTGCACGCATTACCCAGCCGCACTTCCCTTCCCGTCCTAACTTTTAAATTCATAATTAATTAGTTAATATATTATATACTAATGTACATAATATATGAACTAATTAATTTAGGTTTCAAAAGTTGCTATCAAAAAAACTAAATTGGGTAAAACAAAAAAAAATGTGAAAAATTGGGATCACGTTTTATAAAAACATTATAAAAAATAAATTCAACTATTGATTAAACCTAGTGAGGTATTGACTGGTTCATGATAAAATAATCGCCTCAGTATGTATTAACTATACATATATTATATATTTATATATGTATATAGGTATATATAATCACTATTATGTACCCATCTGCTTGAGGTGAAAAATTTGTGGTTTTTTTTTAAATTTCAGCATTACTGTAAAATTTAGATATTGTAGGTAAGCTATATAGGAATTAATAATTCACACTAAAAAAAAGCTAAAAATTGAAACTGTAGTTTGTTTTATAATATTTTTTGAAATTGATACACATATATTATATTTTATTTTTTCCAATTCTGTATGTGATTTAATTTTTCAGATACATTTTTTTTAAGAAGTATTATTTCAAATTATTTAGTAGAGAAATGCTTATTTACCTATCTAGAAATAACATTATTTTATGGACTAATTAAAATATTTGTATGGGAGAGCCATAACTAAGGAAGTTTCATCTTCTGTATTAAGAAAAAAGTAAGGAATTAAAATTACTAATATTAAATAACGGTGAAGCAATGTCGACGGATGGGATGGATGGAGAGGAGTAGTGGTCTCGAAAAAGGACCTAAATGGCCTGTATATTAAGCCAATACAAATTATTGTAATTAGTGTGCTAATATACTAATAATTTTGTAGAAATGCCAATATGCTCTGCCCTTTTTCACCATGGTTTTCGTTGTTTACAAAACGTATAAAATGGATAAATTGTTTGAATGACTGCAAGACAACACTTCCATGACGTATGACACAAGTGCTGTCGGGCGGGGGTGTAACATCAGCACTTGTTGCGTATGGTACTTTAGTTTCCATACTCATGAACAATCCTAAGAGTCGACATGTGTGTTCAAAACCCTTGTTGTAGGTATTCAGGTCTAAAAAAAAAAGTTTTTAAAAGTTATCCAAATTTAGCTTACTGCACTGAAAAAAATACATATATGGACAAACTAAAATTAAGGTTAATCTATTATCCATCTTATATCCTCACCCACGAGAAAAAGTGTATTGAGTCACAAAATGTAAATTTTACACGAGTGTGAAAAATAAAATTATTATTTATTAATGAATTAATAATTACTAATTTCTTCTTCCTAAACCTATCAACCTCACACACTCTATCATCACCCAACTGCATTACCTGTCTTACCCTATAACATTCTCCAAATTTAAACACGATACCTTGATGCACACCAACTCTTAAACTAAAATCTTTTATTTCAACACACACACTCTTCACTCTTCGCGCCTTCATACATTTCCATAATTTCACTTACGGCACACATTTTTTTCTTTATCGTCCACCTCTGAACCTCTAATTAATAAATAACTAACTAATTTGTTAAAATAAATAAAATTAGATGGACCCATTAGAGCCCAAAAGTCATATATAGGCAGTGAATAGAGCGTGAAATTTAAATCTAGGTGAGCCAAAAAACCGGATAATTGAAATTTTTTATTTAATACACTTTTGCTCCGAGGTACGGATATAACTTAATAAAAAACTGCAATGGTGGAATAAAAATTAAAAAAACTTGTTGAACTATGTTTGTAGTTTATTTCACTAGGAAATTAGTTAGATGATTTTTATATGTAATTATTTCAACTATAAATGTATTGTGTTAACTGTAATGTTTGTTGGTCCGAATATGATTTTTTTTTCGTGTAACCACTGTTTTATTATTAGTTTATTATATACTTTTTATAATATAGATTAGTAAATTTCTTAAATGTGGTTTTAATATATGTCTTCTGTATTTTCCAAGATCTTTCACACTTATTAGACAGGTAACTGAAAAATTCAATAATTGTGTTAAACAAAGAATAAATAATTTTGTAAAATATTTTTACTATGGCAATTTTGTAACCTAAGTAAACACGGCGAAATTTCAAATTTGCAAATTGCATTATTCGAAAAACACACATTAAACAAACACAAAAATCGCTCATATATGTTTTTACTGGAACTAAACGTTTACATGGTGTCTATTTAAAAAAATTGTTATTCACAAAATCTATTATTTTTCAACCAAATAATATTTTATTCGACTAGTATGTTATTTAAATAAAACAACTGTTTAATGACAAATTCTATAAAGTAATCTGGCTAGTAACAGTGACCAACGTGAAGCCAAAGAAGAAACTTAAATTAATAGTAGTTTAATTAATGACAATTACATTGTGATATTTTATTATGGTAAGAAGACAACTACAATTACTGACATAGTTTTTCACTGAAAATTAAAATGCCAATAAAAATAGATATCGCAAAAAAATCTCGACTAGCGAATACAAGCCGTTCTAAACATCATTTTTAATAGTGTTTTAAATCATTACATTTTGGAAATTATGTGATTGGTACGTAAAGTTTTCTCCCATAGTTTGAGTGAACCACTGTCGTTAGAAATAGATATTACTATTACTTAGGTCAAGGTTAATAAATTTTTTTAAACTCAACCATCGATCATACGGCTCATTTATTTATTAATAAATTCTATAATTAACCAATTTTCCCAAAAAAAAAAATGTTATGTTTTTAGCTTTTTTAAAAATAAAAAAAATCCTATTTTAAGACTTTTATCAATTTTGGAACTTTTTTTTTTATCATGCAACTTAAAAATTAAAAGTTTTATACCCAAGAGACGTTTTTGTTAAAACTTTTAAAATAAAAGATCCATGAACATTAATATCCTCGACGGGAATTTATATTGAACGACCAACGTTTGCAATTCTACTTGAAGACAATATGGTCAAATCGGTTTCTTGATAGACTTCCAAATATAAAGTAGATCGTTTTTATGACCCTTAATTTACAACTTGTTTGAATATTAAAAATCGAGCTATTGACAACATTATTTTTTGTTAACTACCTATACATTTCTATATAACATTTTTAGAATAATTATTTCGTTATAATTAATTTTTGTAAGTGTTTATTTATTTTTTATTGAATTATATTTTCGACAATTTCTGTACATTTATATTTATATAAAAAATAAATTAACTATTATTATAATTATAGCTGATATTAGGTTTTATTAAAATAATTTTTTAAAAAAAGACTAATTCTTGTTGTTTGATATTTGTAAGTTAGATATAAATGTAAGTTAATAAAATGTATATTTGTGACTTGTGTTAGTTATATTAAATGAATAAATTTATAGTACTAAGATGTGTTTACATTAAAAAAGATTTCATTATGGAAAAAAAATAAATATTTTTTTATAAAGTCATTTTTTTGTTGTATCCATTTAATGTATTTTTTTAATAATTGAGCATAACATATTTATTCAAAGCATATAAAAAAAATGGATTGAAAACGTTGTAAAATATAAATTGAAACCACAGAAAACTTTTTTTTTATATCTCATTGACTAGGAATTATGATGTGTTCTAAAATCTTAAATGTTTATATGCAAAAAAAAATTGATGAACAAATCGTTATTATACGTTCAGTTTAGTATAGTGGTTTTTGAAGTTAAAACGTGTAACGTTTTAAGTTTACAAGTTGAATGAACATAATATTTTTGTGCCTTCAGTACAGAGAAACGGAATTTGAACGGTAAAAAATATAACTTTCAAATGAACGTTAAGTTGTTAAACGTTCAAAAACTATTACCACCAACTAATTGCAAAAAAATTATGCGTTCATTGTATTTTTAAACCTATGACTTAGCTTTAACATCAAAAACCGTTACACTGAACTGAACGAATAAAAACGATTTGTTGATTAAATTTTTGCAAATAAAGGTTTAACATTCAGTTCAATGTGGAGGTTTTTGAAGTTGAAACATGTTACGTTATAAGTTAAATAGTCCAGTGAAAGTATCATTTTTTTGCGTTCAGTTAGAGGTAACAAGGGTTGAACGTTAAAATATATAGCGTTTAAATGAACGTATAGTTGTTGAAAAAATATTTGTATAATGTTATGTTTAGTTTATTATCAACTTGCAAATTGAACGTTTTCATTTTAACAGTTTATTCTCATTACGTTACGGAAACTTGGATTGATTTTAAATACATTTCGAATGACTACCTAGGTTTTAAGCGCTATTTACGACTGTCGAATAAAGCGTAATTACCACCAGCTTCAACCTCACGGGCATCCAAGCCTGTAACAAAAACATAAAAATATGCAATAAATAATTGTACGATTATTGAAAATATGTATTTTATTAGATCTACGTATAACGATAACTTTAAAACTAAGATACAATAGGCTTAGTCACAATTTTGTTGTTAATTACAAGTAACATAGATATGATATTGGACTGCGTGTCATTCCAAAATTGGCGTAGAAAATGTGTGTTACGATTTCGCGTCATCAACATAAAGATAAAGATTTAGTGATTGAATAATAATAATGGGTACCAGGGTACTATATAACACACTCCGTCGCTGGCGGCCACAGTACCAGGGACCCATACGTTAAGTTTGCTATAAATTTCTCAGCGCCAGGAGTGGACGATAATTGTATGAAACTCATAACATCGAAACCTTTGAAAAATTAAATTTTTTTAGGAATACGTTAAAGATTTTTAGAAAAATATTACATAACCAAGCTAAATTTGCCAGACACACTGCACTAAAATATCATTTTCTAAGAAAAAAGTATTAGGAACTTAAATAAAAAAGTTTAGAAACTGCGTTAGTTTTGCGGAACCGTAAAGCTAGAATAAATGTATTGAGCCATTATTAAAAAAGCCAAGCTTGCTTAAACACTCCACGCTAGAATTTCATTTTATTAAGAAAAAGTACTAGAGTCCTGTGCGTAAAACGTGTTAATATACAAATAATATCTAATAAGAAAGGAATTAATGGTTGCTGCGGTCGATAAAGTTTTACGACTTTTCTATTCTTTTAATTTAATTTTCATTTCATTCCATTCATTTACTTGTGTACGCTTGTTTATTCAGTGTGAACTTTACGGTTAATTAACGAGAGGTGTACCAGGAGTGACGAGCTTAAGATTGCTCACATTCTTACAATTTTGTAATATAAAAGCATCTTACTGAAATGTTCAATGTTTTTATTAATTGTACCTCATAATAAAACAGTCGTTATGGTTATACAGATCCGTAATGCTAAAGCATTCCCACGATTCAATGTTTTTTCGTGGAGCGGAGAAAATAACTAGATATTTTTTTAATAAATATGGTCTGTGGCTATACGGATCGTTTTCAATTGAATGAAGTCGAATTCTTATGATAGTTAATTTTAGTATGGAAATTCAAACAACTATTTAAATTATTAAATTAAATTGTGAAGTCCTTACTAGCGAATTAAATATTTTAAAATCATAAAAAATTATATTGGTGAAGTAGTTTTGGATCACATCACTCTATTGCACACAACCTTGTTTATGATTTAGTAATTTTATTCATCAACGGAATTAAGTAACTTATGTTACTCAATTAACTCATCGCTTATGAAAAGGGTCAATTAAACCTTGTACTGTTGGTTGAACAATAAATTAAACAAATTGATATTCATAAATTGAAGTAATAGCGAATGAGATATTGTTTTTAAGTACAATTAAAATAAAACTTTCAGTTTTGTAAAGTGTTTGTAAAAATATGTTGAATTTTATAATTACCTGAAGTTTCGAATAATATTTTTTGCAGTTGAATCTCGGATAAGAGCTCTAAAGTTTAAAACAAAATTAATTTTTACATATGTCTATTGTTATGGCAAAATTAATAGGTATAATACATATTATGAGTTTTCTCATAATTTAAAAACTAATGTAAAAGCCGTATGTAATGTATTATTAATATGAAATAGGAATTACGCGTTTGTGTGTCTGGATCATGATCTCGTTCTGAAATAAAAACGGAAACATTTTATACTTGTGAATAACCAACCACTAAATGGAAATAATTTCTATTATTACCAGGTATTGCAAACATAAAAATCAATTGCTCTGAAATTATGATTACAAAAAAAATATTTTTAAACGATATAAGACCTAATTTCATGTTTCATTATAAATTAAAGGAGGAAGTTAAGGTTTAAAATACACGTTTAATAATAGTAAGGAAGTTAATTTTACAAATAAATACCAAAGGATTTAAATTTAATATTTATATCTCTCATAAAAATACATTAATAAATTGTTTTTGCGATTATTGTATCATTTCCAAAATATTTCTCCTACTAGCATACTTAATTGGTTTTGTTATATAATAATAGTTACCCATTGAGATGTTATCTTGTTCAACAAAAAAATGTATCATGTCCCACATGGTCTCTGAAATAAACAAATAATTGATTGAGTTAAAACAATCAAATGAAGTTTTAATGCGACATAATCGCAACATTTTGTTTTAACACAAAATGTTCTGAATAGAAGTACATTTTGAGTTAAACGTGGCCCCTTTAATTAGTGATAAACCGTCTCGGAATTTTATTAAACAATTATTCTATAATATCTATTCTAGAATATCAATGATATTGTACAAACTAAATTAATATATAATCATATTGTTCGTGTAGGAGACTCTTTTGAGAAATATTGTTAACACAAGTTGCGTTATTTGAGCATATTATCCTCATCAATCCTCGACTTCACCACTATTGATAATTCTTGGAGTTCTTCGGTAAAAAACATTTTTTAAAAATACAATACACACAAAGGCCACTAATTAGAACCATTTTTTATAGAGATTATAGTTCATAAATATAAATTACCTTATAGTCAGGCAAATGGCAAGTACAACAAAACCATTAAATGTATAGTATTAATAATTTTAAGTATGTCTTACTTGCGTTAATATGTGCGCCAATGAGTATGTCTGTAATAAATTATGTATAAAAAATGCAAGTCTTGAAATTAAACAAAATATTTTGTAAACGAAATATGTACTGACTTGTATTTTCAAGCTCCGATCGAAAGAAATCTAAATCTGTAAGAAAGTTGAATATTTATTTTGTTTAGTTTTTTGTTAAAGTTAAAACAAGTACCTTGAGTGGTCACTTGTAAAAACGAATTACATACCTTTAGTTGCCAAAACATTAAGAATAGTACACAGGAGTAACACATAAATCACTCTCATTTTTGTCTGCAAATAATAATACAAATTAAAACATGTCATAATAGACGGAGATATACTTACAATAAAATCTAAACATTTATTGTAGGGTTGCTTATGTTAATTGTTTAACTCCGTGTGGGATTATTTCTTTATCAATATATTAATGTATAACTGGATCGAACAACTACATTACAACAACATTAATAGAATAATACAAGAAAAAATAGAAATAGAATGGCAGAACACGTGGCAACAATCAAACACAAAGCTAATTGAAATAAAAAACATTATCAAAAGATGGCCAAAAAGCAGAAAAATCGAAGTCATATAAAACAGACTCAGAATTGGACACAAAAACTTACCCATGTGTACATTTTAAAAAAAGAAGACAAGCCAGTATGTCAACCCCGCGGCACCTCTCTCACGGTCAAATACGTATTAACAGAATGCAGAAAATACGATGACTTTAAAAGAATTAACCAGCAACCTGACCATCTATGGGAAATCCTAGGACCATAAGTATACCGACCTATTACCGGCATATTAGAATCGAAAATTGTTAATTTATTTCACAAGATTTTTTCCAGTAAAATAACATTGTAAGGTGTCTTTGGGCAAACTTGGCTTTTTTAATAATGGATCAATAAATTTATTTTATCATTACGGTTCCGCAAAACTACCGCAAAGCAACAATTTTTCATTTAGGTCCCCAATAATTTTGTATAATAATTGGCAATTTAGTTCGGTGTGTCTGGGCAAGTTTGGCTTTGTTATATTATATTATTCTAGAAATATCGATTTACTGAGCGGGTATATACTATCGCCTATACTTGTCCTAGTGTAAACAATTATAATTCTTACCGAGTTATTACAAAACATTAGATTGTATAGAAAATGTATAACGATACTATTTTCTTAACTGTGACACATTAATGAATGAAGAAGAATTTTGTTTATTTATTAAGAGATCGGAAAGTATGGACAGAGTAATGAAAAATTTGGTAACTGGAATATATGATACATGTAGGCAAAAACCCATTTGATAAGTATATTAATTGATTTTAATACAAAATTTGTGTTTGACATAATATTTGTAACAATAAGGTAATATCATGCAAGAAAGCTCAAACGTTCAAAAAGACAAATACTGAAACATGTTACATTCAAAAAACCGTTTGTTTTTCATAAGAAATAAAAAATTATGGTAAAACTTAAAAAATTGTATTTGTAAAATTCAACAGTTCTTGTAACGGAGTAACTTAAACAATTTGTGAAGCTAACACTGTTAGCTTAACAGCCATTTGTCTTTTGTCTCCATTACTTCGAGTTCTTATACACTAAGTTAAGTGTATAGTATGTCAACAAACACATTAAAATAAAATAAACTAAATATAAAAAAAATGTCGATATACATAAACTCCTCATTCCCTAGCGAGCGAACTCAAATTAAATCAGATTTAGAAGTAGTAGTATCAAAAATAAAATGAAAATAACCACTGATAATATGTTACATCTATATTTCTAACCAAAAAATTTTCTTGCAATGACATCGAAAGTATTATATAGAAAATACCCTCTCTTTACACTATTGCAGGGGGATTTTAACAAAATATGGGATACCGGTAAAATACCGGACAGCTAGAAAAACGGAAATGTAGTAACGATACAAAAACCTGGGGAAAATAAATTGCATTTTAAATGTTTTGGACCTATTAAATTAATTAACACCATGTGTAAAATGTTAGAAAAATTTATAAAGTTTAGATTGGTCTGGTACCTTAAGCACATACAATATTCAGCTCAAGTGGATTTAGGAAATATAAGTCAACTTAAAATTCTCTTAGTAAGATAAAAGATGATATAAATTTTACTCAACGGGTTAAGCAAAAATTTGGACTAATTGGGTAGCTTAAACATAGCCAAAGCTTATAACAAAACATGGAGACACTAAATCAAAAGAGAACTATCCAAAGTAATAAACAAAGAAAAAATGTTTAAATTTGTCGAAAGTTTCCTTCAAATTAGAACATTTCAGGTCAAAGGGGAAAATTGCTGTTCGGATAAATATATTTGGGAGAATGGAGTCCCTCAAGGATCGACACTACCTGTAACTCTTTTTTTAGTTTGTGAAACAATGTATCTAATACTATCTCGGCACCAATACAGGCAACGTTATTTACCGACGACTTATATATTTCTTGTAAAAGCAAAAGAATTAAAACAGTGAGACACTTCTTACAGGATACATTAGACCAACTTTCTAATTGGACACTTAACTCAGGATTTCAATTCTCCTCCAAAAAATCAAAATGTATAAACTTTACTAAAAATCGTAAAACTGTAAAGCTATCATTAAAAATGGCCAACAAGGAAACCGAACAAGTCACAGTAATAAAAATATTAGGTCCAACTTACAACCAAAAAAATTCATGGCTACAACATAAATCAGCTAAAAATGTATTTAAATCGAAACTTAAACTTAATCAAAATGATATCAAACACCATTTTGGGTGCAGATACTTTAATTTCAAAAATAATGTACAGAGCCATTATTCGGTCCAAGATAGACTATGGAGTGATAATATTATATAAGTGTGAATCGAACTATCTTAAACAAATAGAAAGCAAACACAATAGTGAGATACGTCTCTTCTTTACACGTTCAAACTATTAAGAACAAATAACCCAACATTAAACTACAACCAATCAAGAATTTACCAAGCCATACTTTATAGAATAAACCTTGAAAATATTACTCAAATAGAATGGCATAAAACTATACCTTGGACAAACAAACAATAACTGAATACTACTGGATAATCCATCGCCCGGGTGTTTTTTACACAGGTTGGATCCGATTATTTGCGTGGTTCAATAGGTAATACACTAAAGGATTCTTAAGATAAAAGCGGATAATGTGGACTGTATAGATGGTAGGATGGCACTTACAATAATATTGAAAACGAATGCGGAATTAATATAAGTAAAATATGTACTTAAACATAAAACACAAAACGAACAGAAAATGATTAATCAATGGGGAGAAATCTTATAAATTAATGCCACACGGCGCAGTAACCTAAAAACTTCTAAATTTATATTAACAATAAGATATTTATCGACTATTTGAAGATTTGTCTTGTAACCTATGTTCAACCCAATGATGGCCACTAGGATAACAGATATGTAGCTGACGAGTACACACACGCGAACTAGAACACGCTAAGGTGTAGGCGAGTCGCAGGGCGATTAAACTATATGTACAAGGGTGCAGGTGAATAATGCACTGGGGTGCACGCGAAATATATGCACAAGAGTGCAGGAAAATCGCATGACGATTAAAACTATACGAACGACTATTACTAAAATAACAACATAGGACCATCGAGTAAGGTCCAAGATGACGGGATGTACATCAGCGAGCGAATAAACGACCGGTAGGCACAATGGTCAACGAAACATAGGATTACTGACAAAGACGAGCTGCGTTACATCAGCGTTCTCTCTCGTCCAACCGGGGGTGGTGGCACAAGCAGTGTTGCCGGTTCACCACATAATAATAAAAAGAGAGCATGTATGCTATTGTAACATTGTACCATAGCATACAATGTTACCATTTTTGAAGTTCGTTAGATTACTTAAACAATTGCAATGATGGAAATACTAACTGCTTCAATGGTTTTCATATATGTACAGTGTGATTATTTTATCATGGGCCACTTAATATCTCACTTAGCTCAATTAATACATTTTTTTTTTTCATAGTGTCTTCAAAAATGTGTTCTCGATTTTCCATAAAATTTTATATCTCCAACTGCTTTTAAACTTAGTTTTTTTGTTAGCAAATTTTAAAACATAAACTTTAACACATGCATTTCATTAACTTTTTAAATTGAGAATAATGTACTAAACGTTTTGACTGGTTGATAACAAGTTTTGGATTACTATTTTAAAGTACTTAAACAATAATAATAACAATATGAGTACCCAACAATTTCTGGTGATATGATTCAGTTAGTGCGAAACACTTGTTTAAAAAATACATGTTTTTTTTGTGTTCAATATGTAAACATCAAAGAGTGACTACGGCTAGAGGAGGAGCTAAAATATATATCATGTAAGTATAATATGGTATACAACTAAACAAATGCTGAAAGTCCTACACTACAATACTAAAAAACTATTTACATCTATTCTAAATACTCCGTCCCTACTGTTTTTATTCCATTATGCCTTGAACCAACTTTACTGGCTTACTAGGATAAAATCACTTTCAAATAAACGCTTTTATACGTACTATGATATGCGTAGTTGAGTGGACCAAAAACAATTTTTTTTACTTTTTCTCTTGACATTATGTTCCTTGGGAGTAAAATAATATTTCCCTATTTTTTAAAATTTATAAAATTATTTATAAAGGTTACGAGCATCAAAAAATTTTTTTTTTCTTTTTTAAGGTAGACTTATCAATTTTAAGCAAATGTGGCTTGTATACGAAATCATCAATAGAATAAGAGGAATAAATCAGTATTTTTTTTTTTTTACAAAAAAAACTTCTATCCAACTAATTTAGGCCTTAGAATGTAAAATTGTCTAAAATATTTTTAGCTTATTCCTCATTTAGTTGCAAAGAATTCCGATATACTTACATAACACATTATATTAACAATAGATCAGAATAAAAACCAAAGAACAAGTTTTGAATATATATATATATATATATATATATATATCTAGTTTTTTTGGTTTTTTTTTTTTAAATAATTTTTTTTCTGATATATTGATAGAATAATGTGTTATGTTTTTGTATATAAAATTTATGTATTTCTACATAAAGATTTTTTTATTTTAAAAAATAATATCGTTTTTTGTTAATTATTTGTAGAAACAATGAACTAAAAAAAAAATATATTTGTGAAGTAACAGTATTCAAAACTTGTTTTTTTGTTTTTTTTTAATCATATTTTTTTCTGATCTATTGTTAGAATAATGTGATATGTAAGTATATCGGAATTCTTTGCAACTAAATGAGACATAAGTTAAAAATATTTTATATTCCTAAAAATAATATTTTAGGGTACTATTTAGAGTATAATATATATATCAATGATTTAGCAAATTCCAAATTCTAAGGCTTAAATTAGTTGGATAGAAGTTTTTTTTGTAAAAAAAAAAAAAAAATAATGGTTTATTACTCTTTTTTTAATGATGATTTTGTATACAAGCAACATTTGTTTAATATTGATATTTATACCTTAAAAAAATTAAAAACTAAAAAAAAAAGGGAAATATTGTTATACCCCCCCAAGGAACAAAATGTCAAGAGAAGAACAAAAAAAATTAGTTTTGGTCCATCCTAATGCGTAGTTATAACCAGTGTTTTGCATCATTATAATAAAAGATATATAAATAATCTTCTAGATGACAAATTATTCAAATAAAAATTTTTTGTTTAAAAATGTATTTGAATAATTTTTAAAAATAGTATTTAAATTGTCAGTAAGTATTTTTTTACACCTGAAGTAGTGTCACTGGACTCAAGTCGTCCAGTTTTGTAAAAAAAATTATTTTACTTATTGCTCATATTAATACAGATTGTAAATATTTCCAATAAAAAATAAAAATAAAACATTTTTTTAAATAAATATATTTAAAAATATTATTTAATATACATTTAGTAAATTTTGTATTTAGAAAAAATATAAACCCAGTAAATATAAGAAAACAATTTTGTATATTACTTACTAAATAATTGCAATGATAGTTATACTGGCTTCTTAAATGGTTTTTTTACGACTGATCGAATGGCTTATATTTTGTCGACCTAAACAATAAAATCTAGATGTATTTTGCAGAATTGTTTTTGCGAATTTGTTAACATAAGAAACATATGTCATTTTTGGTTTCGAGCAACTTATTTATATTTACATTACTCTGAAGCATAATACGAAGTAAAGTATAATATTACATTTACTCAATATTTTAGTAGTATGAGTAATAATAAGGGCGGGGTCTCAGCGGAGCTCTATGTACACAATTAACTTACAAATAAATTCGTACAAACGATCGTCGCCAATGAACACGCAAAATAAAAACTATGAGATTCGAATGTTTTTTAACCCAAGAGAAAAATATAGAATCAAGTTTTTATAGGGGTTATAGTTTTTTTTAAACCTAAATTAGGAAAACCATTGTAATTTTAATGTGGTTAATTACATTGTATACACTCAGATACTGAAATTGAATTAATTATCCGTATTTTATCAAATTAAACATGTATATTTTTTAACTATTTCAGACAAATCTGAATTTTTTGTTGAAAATTATAGCTAATCAAAATTATTGATATTTTGTAAATTGTCAACAATTTGTTATATTTGCAATAAAACGATAACCTGGTTGAACGTTTAAACTCTTGGTATCTAATAACAACATGGTTGTTGATAAATCACAGTATGGAATTCAATTATTGTTACTATAACTAGAATATTGGTAATAATTCAAACGGTCTCTAAATATTCTAAAATATTGTAATAGTAAAAATTAAAAGAATAGCATAGGACGTTGGGATAATGGATGTCTGTATACACTATACATACTTTAATCATTATTATAACTCTAATATGTGTTATGATATTATATTATTTTGTACGTACCTTGATTCTGGTGCAGCGATGATCTCGGAGTAACAGCTTTGTTAATTTAGTTGTATATTATACCATTTAGTTTTGGTTATCTCCTCTCAGGCTGCTTGACAACTAGTAGGGGTACTACACAAAACTCGTTTGCTAGTTTGATCTATTTGGTTATCCTATTCCAAGGCTACATATCTTAATGAAGACTGGTATACTACTCCGCTCAAAGACGACTACACAGATTGTCCTTTCTTTACCAAACACTTTATAATGACTATTTAATTATTTAAAGTATCCAATTCTTATCGAGAACACCCAACTCATTGGCAATCAATGAAATTGAATTTCTGAGCTGCATTCGCTTCCCAAGAAATAAAGTGAACCAGGATAACTGTAATCGGACTATTTTAGGATAATTAAACTATAATAAAATAAATAAATAATAGACGAACACTTTGTTTCTATTGATAAATCTTTACCCTAATACACCGAGTTAAGCTATAGATATTTACATAAGAATAGTTAACCCTACTTTCGTGCCTCGCCAACTAAATGATTAGTGAATAGCTACGGAGCTACATGAGTTACTCGTGTATGTCATTCTCTTTCTGTTTGGCCAACTCAGTATATTTGTTTTTTTTTATTATTTACATGTTTTATCTTATAATCGGGTGCAAGTATTACTGTGTGCATAAAATATTATGAAATAGTCGATATCAATATATTACAGCTACTATCAATAATATTATAATTTTATTTAAAATTATAATTAAAAACACTTTTATGGTTTTAACGAATGTTTATAAATTTTGTCTGTAAAAAAGTAACAAAAAAAATATCATAACCATTACTCTAAAAGTTGTGTGCAAGATTTTTAGTAAAATAATTTATTTCTGATGTAAACCAGGGCTAATGTAGAATTCAAAAATGGGGCTGGAAATAGAAAATCTCTTCAAATACAATTTAATTATACAAATCAATAACCTTAAAAGTTAAAGTTTATATTATAGTAAAAATAATACATATTCTAATATATTTTTTTTTTCAAATTATATCCTATAAAAGTACACTTTTAATGCACACGATTTAAGTACGTAAAGAAAAATCATTAGCACCAATAGCCCCCTTCCTAAGCATCCTCCCTTGTCTCTAATCATTTATATAACAGTTCATCTTGAAGTAAGTGAGGGGCTTATTGTACAACATCCCCCCTTGTATCTACCGCGAACGCAATACCCTTATCGTTCATATTATGATTTAACTTGCATATTGAATTTTAGTTATAATGCCTGTTTTGTACAAAAACCAACGATATGTTTTCACAAAATACCGTATTTTTCTCAATTCTTGTTGCAGTATAAACTAAGTACACATATCTGTTGGCATTATACAGCTTAAGTTGTAACATAATATGAGAAGCCATTTTTACGTCAACAGCTTTTATAGATGTATTATTGTTTTTTTAGAACACAATTGTTCTATTAAACTTAAACTATGGTATTTTATTAAATAACTGATTATGAATGTATAAACACAGTAAAATGTATTAACTACAGTAAAAGATAACCAATGATGTACAAAACAAAAATGATAATTTTATTAATAATTTAATTGGGAGCTGTAATATTTTAGCTTTGTATTTTCCCGATTTTTTCGGTATACAGTGGATCTACAATGCAAGAAAAAACATATTATAAACATTGAAGTACACAAATAACATAGCAAAATAATTTAACATCAACTTTGAATTCTGACCGTAGAAAAATAACAAAAAAAAATCATAACGATTACTCTCTAATAATATTATAGAGTATATTGATTTATACAATATTTAGTTTTTGTAATATATAATGCTAAAACTTATTAATGTATTATACCTATAGTTGTTTTTCATTAATGTATATCGCAACAAATATTGTGAAAAAGAACTTGTTTCCGATAAGATAAAAAATATAATTATTGAAATCGAAGAAAAATATTATATATTATAAAGTATGAAAAACATCGTTTACATTTTGTGAAAACATAAGGTTGAAACAAATGTAAAACACAAGTTGAATGCATATTGTTATATGATGACCACGTCATCAATGTAGGTAAATTTATAAAAATAAACATGGGCAGTGCTTCCGACGACTCAAGACTGATTACTAAACAATTAAATTAACTTAAAGCTTAGTTGCAAAATGTAAAACAATATAAAAGACAATTAAATTCAATGATATTTCGTTAGTCGACCCCATTATAACTTCTATTATAACTCGAGCGTATTTTCTAGACGGTTAATCAGACAACGTAAAACAGTGATGAGCCAGGTTGCCCGTGGTTCAATCAGAGAAGTTGTACTCATAAATCACATCAAAAATGAAAATCGACTATTAGACGTTGCCAAACAAAAGCTCAGGGTAAGCACTTGATTACAACATAGGCCGTCGTCAAATTGTTTACACTAAACACAATAATAACGATGATAGATCAACACAATATTCCCAAAAGGAGTTCAATGAATATAAAAAAATGCCAGTAGGGTGGGTTCAGAGCAAAATGCCAAAAACTATACTTAAAAATAAAAATGCCATCCCTTTTGTGGTAGGGAGGTCAAGATACAACACAAAATAATATTGGTCTTATTTCCAGTTTTGCCCTACTAAAAAAGTATAGTAATAAATAGAGTATCTACTTCTTCAACGGTGAAGGTATTAATTCAAGGTTTTAATGTTTGAGATACTTGTAATAATATTTGAGCCCATTAAAAAAAAGTCGTCAATTCCATATGTAAAAAAAAAACATCTTAAGCACAAGGATATGAAATTAATTTATAAGTTCTAAGAAAAGGTAGCAAAATAATATTTTTAATAAAATGTGTTGTCCGGACAGAAGAGACGCTAGTTATAAAAGCCCAAGGAGAGTATTTTATATCAAAACAGTTTATTATGTTTGGCAATTTTCTACAATACCTTCAATAATTTACATTGGTATTTCAATCTATAGTAATTAATATGTACAATAAAGGTATTAACTGGTATAGATTTTAAAATCCACCAAACAGGTCTAAATTAACGTATTTCAGGACTTCGTATCTTCACCCTCAAGTCCAAGGTAAACCCAACTGCGGACATTAAATTATAATTGGCACAACCTCTGAATATTATTATAAAAGAGGGCTTTTCACATCCCTCGAATATGTAACAGCATAGTATAGTAAATGGAATTTATTTAAATTTATTCAAACGTAAAATATTATTATATGAAGATTTAATAATATTTTATCGTTTGTTATATTGTTTTGGTTTTTGTGTGATGTACAGCATATAAAAAAGTATATTGTTATTTTATTTCACATAAGTAAATATGCAGTATTTTTCTGGGTTACACTGTTCTTACAACTGTACAATTGGTTTAAAAATCAACACTTCAACTATATAAATCTTATAATATTTTGTATTGTTTGTTTTGTGTTTTTTATTAACATATTACAACAAATTATAGCAATTACTTTTTTTGAACATTAAACTTTGTTAAATTTTCTTAAATGAACATTTATAATTATTGCTTTATACAATTGGAACATTTCATTTTCTTAAATAGATAACAAACAATGAAGACTAATTATAGATTTATATTTATTATTAATTCTCCCGAAGTTTAGGAACCCGACTATCTGAAAAACCAATTGAATTTAGATCTTCGTTTTTAAGTGTAGATTTTGATCTTTAATATAATTACAATGTATTTATTACAACACTATCTATCATTTCACCAAAACAACTGTATAGCAAAGAACTGTAAAGAATTTGTAAAAAAATGTTTTTACTACATATTTCAAAAAATTGTATTACAAATAACGAATCTGACTAACACATATTCTTAGGTATCAGTAGTTATAACTTATATGTCAAACAGTATTTTACAAACAGTATACAAACAGTATTTTTAATTATAATAAAATTATCTATATTGTATGTTTATAAGCTGTTGAATATTTATATAACAAATATTGCATTATACATTAATGACAATATGTCTGTTGGCATCATTAAGTTTTTAGAGTTAACTTTATAAGAAGTGTAATGTTCTACAAATACAATATTTAACACTGATTATTTATTTACAAAACAAGTATTTAATATGTGTATGTAACAACATTCTAT